TGATTTGAATTCAATTAACTGTCCAGCCCTAACGAATGCTCAACCAGTTAAAAAGAACGTGAGTTTAAATAAATCATTAGAACTTTTAGAAACTGGAGTTTCATTTTTCTTTCTGCATTGAAGGTATTTCCTCGTCCTTTGCAATCTGTTTGTTGCACGTGTTCACATCCAGATGATGGTGAAAGTACCATTTATTGGTCAGTCCTGCCACAAAATGTTAGTAATGTTGAAAAATGGCTGTTAAAGATCATCAGAACACAAAGCAGCGGATCAAAATGGCTCATTTCAGTTACATTAGATTATATTAAAATGATAAATGCATTCAAGCCAACACTTTTATAAACTTGTCTTCTTCCAAATTCTGTTTATTGGTGTTTTTACAACAGTGTACAAACTATTTAACAGCATGTAGGACTGTGTCATGAATATGCACTTTTTTATGAACCAAAAGCAGAAAACAACGACACAAGAGTACAAGTTACCTGTGTTCACCCCCCACATACAACAACAACAACAACGACAACAATACGGTCTGAATTATGCAAATACAGTCGTGACTCGATAATCCAACACTAAATGTAAAACCTTCTTTCATGTCGGATTGTCAAGACGGAGGTCGAGATACAAGGAGGTCTTGATGCTGGAAGGCTCATTTGTTGTTAATTATTGTTCATAGTTGTTATAATAACTCATAGGGCTGGTCCCAATCACACTTTCTGGTCTCTGGATATTCAGGCCCAATTAATGATGAATATTCGGCGTGGTCGAGGGGACCACTTCCACCCCGGGGCAGTGCTCCGATGGGGTGGAAGTGGCTGGAACACACAGGCAGTACTTGGCTGCTGATGCCAGTTTAGGACAGCGGTCCCAGTTCTGTTTCCACCATCATTACCAATCATGTTTACTTCCGTAAACACTGAGCACGCTCGCTGCGTGTGACGTCGTCGTGTCCTCTTCTGCGCATGCGGGACACTTTTGGGTCGTATGAAGTTCACACAGCAGATCACATACAAGTCGCATTGAACTGGAAATGTGAACGTAATCACAAAAAAAAAGGATTTCACAAAAAAATCTGAATGGAGTTTAAGTCCTGCAGTCTGAACGTAGCCAATCTGTGGGATTGTTCAGTCAGATAATACGCTGTTATCCTTATTTGTGACATAAAATGTCATGTCGGAGTCAGAATCCAAGGCTGTCGGTATGTTAAGGCTGTTTTTTATGGGTTCTGTTCGTTTTTCCTAAAAACCTGTCGGATAGCAAGGTTTTCTGATTGTTAAGGGTTGAATTATTGAGTCACTACTGTATACTGTATATTGCTATACTTCATTAATAATTGCTTTGTGTGTAAAATGTCAGAAACACACTGCAAAAGAAACCAATTGCATTTACCCAAAGCCCAGCTGAAGCCATTAAATTGCTTGTTTTTCTGACTAAAAAGTTTGTCTTTCACACAAAGCAAAGAGCAGAAACTAATGCTCACTACAGAGAAACACTGCTGACTCTTAACCTAAAGACGTTTAGTGTCCCCATGTCCAGACTGTAACATGTGAGGACAAAATCTGGCCCATTAAAGCCTTAACCAGTGAATTGATTCTTTACTTTATGTTCCAGAGGACTGAAACAATGAGTCTGTAACAGGATAATTAGACAGCACTCTGTTCTTCTAATTCCTACCATAAGTGGTATTCTGTTGTTTAGCTAATTAACTCGAGGTTCTGTAATCGAAAAATGTAATGATCTACCGGTCTGCTTCTCATCCAGTGCAGGCTGAATGCTTTCCCTGCTAAATTAAATATAATAATAGCTGTTTTAACACTTACTGTGAGGCAGAAGCGAGCACACCGAAATGCAGCAGAGAGAAGTTAACTGTCTGCAAATGGATGAAAAACAGCACCTCCAACAGATTTCACTGTCAAAGAAGAGTTGATGCCGGCTGTCGGGCAGCGGAGCGTGTCATTGATGATGTGGAGGAGGGGTGACGGCGCAGCCAGATTGAGGTGGACGTGAAGGGAGACAGATGTTTCACCATAATCCAGGGGTTTAGAGGAAGACGCTGGCATGATGGAGGGAAAGGCCTTGAAGGCGGCCTGGAAAAAAATCAAGCAGCCCTGAATGTGAACCCTTTTTTAAGAGGATTTTTGTTGATGGGAGGGCAGGAGGACGTAGAGGGAAATCAATAATGGAGGAAATTGTAAATAACATCTGATTTAGAAGCACATGCATGAAGGGTTTATGGCGGAGGTGCAGGTTTATAGCGTGGACGAGGAGCAGCTCCCTCAGAAACGTCTGATTTGTAGGCACACGGGCTCATCTGCAGCCCTGCAGAACGGTCAGTTAATCACATTTAAGGGGCAAAAGTAGCAGCTGCACTACTTTACTTTCTTGTCATCTTGTCACAGACCTCCACAAAGTACATTAAAGCAGGACCGTAATTGATTAAAGATTGCTTTCTTAGCTATAGTTTTATTGAGAAACTGATACAAACCAGATAAATTACAGCCTGTTATAAATGACATCTGCTGAGTTTTTTCGGGGCCGCCGGTGCGTCACAACAGCGTATTGTCATCGTGGCTTTGAGGCACTTTGACACATTGCTTCGTTTTTAGCAGCCGCGCTGGTCAGTTTAACCTTAAAGTGACTCAGAAGTTTTCTGTTTTTCCAAAAGGGGCTGCGGTTCGGCGGTGCACCTGTAGGTGGCATTACAGACCAGCTGCCTCTCACCGCCCGCTATCACTGCATTGCACCCAATTAACTGGCATGACACAGCCAACTAACCTAAATCATAATCTCTCAGTGGCTCAGACGTTAATTTACACATGCATTAGTTGTGCCGCTACCTCCGCTGTATCTGATAGTGTAACTCCAAGTATACTGCAGCCGACTTGAAGCTTTACTAGGAGACACAGTTAGTATCTAGTACCTTCTTCTCTGTGTTTATTATTTTTGACTTGAGTCCAGGCAGCAAACAGCTGTTCTACTGGAAACACCACTCTGGGGGTCTTTCCTTTAAATTTCATGATTCCTCTTTAGCTCTGACAGAAGAAGTCCTGTATTCACATGCGGCCAGCTCAGAGTCGCTCCGACCGGCACGGCGCTCCGTGGACGTTTCTGAGGTTCAGGATTTGGACGAGTTCAGTTAATCGTAGCAGCAAAGCACTGTGGGTGTTTGAAAAGGCTGCTACCTGCCGGGGAAGCGGCGTGACCACAGCGGTGCATAATACCTCCACGGGTGTTATCTGGTAATAAGGCCTGAGAAGATTTTCGAGTTAATGGTTCACTAGTCAACAGAAAGTAAGTACTGGAGAAGGAAAGTAAAAAAAAAATCTTTTGCCAGGCTCGAGGACTTGAAATCACAGCCCCTTCCGTCTGCGTTTTGGCATCTTTACAAGGTTTCATCGCTATGCCAGGGAGAGTCTGTATACCCCACTGATATTGTATTTGACATTTAGGCAGTAGCACGCTGCAGGCCGAGACACATACTGTGGGCCAGTAATTAGTATGTTGATGAGTCGCTGATTCATTTGGGCAGCTTCTCCGTGGTTTTTTTTTAGCATCTGAAGAAATTTCAAGATGAACTTTTGTCACAGAGAACCGATCCTTATCTCACCAGCAGAATTATTGATATGTGTGTGTCTCTGGCTGTTTTTGTCCGGACCGCCGGTTTCTTACCTCTGTGCGACTGCAGAGAAGCCTCCGTTTGAAGCACAACCTTCTGTCTCCTCCTGAAACCTGCATCTGCACTGGCAGCAGCAAAACAATGGCGAGGAAGGAAGGAAGTGGTAAATAATTGAGCTTCAGGAACAAAAGCTCACTAGATGGGTCCAACCTGGAGTCCTAGTTTTAGCTTCTTTTTTTTTAGTATACCTTTAAATCAAGTGAGAAAACTGAAAGGCTCCTGACGTTATTTAGTCATAGAGTATGTTTATTAGTTGTTAAACAGGAGACAGAAACCTTTCAAAGTGCCAGAGGAGAGTTTTGCTTCCATTCATCAAGGCTGCAAACGTAATGTTCCTGGGTATATTGGAGATGTGATGGAAGATAAAGAAGAGTTTGCAACAATTGTTGATGCGTCTGCGCTCGTGTTTGTGGGGGTGTGACATCTTTAGTTTACTGCTTTTTGAAGGAGTTTCTACAAAGCAGCTAAAGTGTTGCTCAAACAGCGACACGGGGCTTCAAAGCGAGCGAGGACGCTAAATCATAAAGCCCCGATAAGATGAGCAGAATAGATATAAACTGGAAAAAATAAAGGGCTATATAAGGACAGATACGCCGGCTATAAAAGGGATAAAATAACGCTTTAAGAAGTTGATTTTAAAAAGATGAGTTTGCCGGCGCAGGCCCCTCGACAGTTCCCTTCTCGCACCTGGGCCCTCGCACAATAAAGGCCGGTCACCGCTGATTTTTAGCCTGGATTTCTGAGCATCCCGGAGGATCTGAGGCTGTGCTCCAGGCAGCTCACAGGGGGGGTTTAAAACAGTGTTTCCTGCCAGCATCTGCAATCTCATGTCTCCTTCGGTGCATAAAGACAAGGCCTTTGTACTTTCTTCTCCCCCCCCCCGCCACCCCTCGACAATGCACCACGCTCTTTCCTGACTTCCAAAATAGGCTGGTGTTTTCCTTGTCAGTCAAATGGAGGCCAGTGTCGTTTTATTTCGGATTCCATGATGAAATCGGTAGAAATTGTACTTCATAAAATATCATCCATCAACCTGATTCAGCTTTCCATTTGTGGCGGGAAGATTGGTTTGGGGGTCTGGGACTTTGTTTGCAATGTTAGTGACCAACCACAATACAGATAGACGGACTTATTTGATTGATTTAGTTTAGTTTTTTTGTTTTAAAGATTATTAACAATAAAAACTCTTGTTTGTTACTACATGCGATACTGCAGCACAAATCTTAATTAGCTGGGCTAATATGATGAAACTGTAAGGTTGTGCAACACCATTAAAAGACAATTATTGTTCAAAGGACAATGACAAAAACATATCCCTCCCCAGGCTCTTACCACTGGCAGTATCCCAGGCTTCATTGATGTGGTAATGAACCTAAATTCTCCTGCACTGTTGGAAGACAACCTCATTTGGCAGGCCAAAACAGCAGGGAAGAGGATAGTCTTCTATGGAGATGACACCTGGGTGCGCCTCTTCCCGAAACACTTCATGGAGTACGATGGCACGACCTCCTTTTTCGTGTCCGACTACACCGAGGTACGTTCGAGATGAACAGCTGCCGTTTGACTGTGTTAAACATGTGAGTGCTGCAGTTTTCTGCAAATATCAAGAAAGCATCAAAGCACCTGGTGGCTGATGTGTTGCAGGGATTTTAAATGTGATGCATAAAAACATGATGGAAGATAATAAAGTCGCTGTGTTTTCTGTGTTGTTCATGATGTGTAGAACGGTTCAGGCAGGTTCACTGATCAGCCACAACATTAAAACCACGTGTATAGT